AAGAAGTGGGTCTCTTGAGGCAAATCCTCTGCCATGCTTGGCTGGGCCATACCTACCATAGGATCCACTTTGTTCTGGGATGGGAAAGACAGTGAGGAGTGCTCAGATTCCTAATCCATGTTGCATCTACCTAAATACAGTAAGGTTTTCAAGGCTACAGATTTCTGCCTTCACTCTACTGGTTTTCTAGGGTGGGGGTTGGGGGGATTCAATTGCTGAATGTAACAATTGAGAACAAACGGCAAGAAATGAACAATTTTTGGAAAGCCCTTTGACAGTGTTTTTTGTTAAAATAAATATTTGTATAGAAGCATTTGGACAGGAAAATATCACTATTTACAAAGTGAAATAAATTTCACATTGGTGTATATAAATATGTATTCCACACACTTGAAACCAGTCACTAACATAGTCTAATACAACTACTCAGAATGCAGAAATCACCAGTGAAATCAAGAACCATAAGCTACAGTGACTCTAACAATAATCTCTAACTGTGGTATATACAAAATTAGGCAAATCTTACTTTTATAATATCATTACCACAAACTAGCTCCAAAACACTGTAGCTTTAGCTAAAACACAACATGAACTATAGGTTAATAAAAGCAATTGGGATGGGGGAGAAGTGTTAATTGAATGGTATTTAGACCCAGCTGCTAAATACTAGAAATAGTCATATGAAGAAACATCTCTCAGGTGACATCTATGTGTCTCATGAAATACTGGGGGGTATAGGGATAGAAGAAGCTGTCCGAGAGAAGATGTCACCTGTAAGGAAGCTTGTGGCGCAGGAGGGAAGAGAAAAAAGGTATACCAAGGATGATTCCTCAAAATGAGGAGCTGCTTCAAGCCTGACCAGGATCAGGCTTCAATGGCCAGGCCAGTCTTGAACTTGTCTAAAGCTGCTGGTGCACTGACGGTGTCAGAAACAATGTTGTGGCTTGAACTTGAGGTTCAAACAGGCAAAAGCCAGTAATTTATGTTTACAAGTAATAAGGTTTGGAGTGAGAAATTTGCAAATATTCTAGATACAAGAGAGGAATGAAGGGCTACAAGGGTGAAAGCATCATGCCCTGGGCTGTTGTGAGAGGCACTATTCTAGGCTGTAGGTTCACTAGTTAGACCGCTAGAGTGGAATGTGTCTCCTACAGTCAGATTTACTGACTCATAAGTCTGAAGACTTGGACTTGCAATTACTCACTACATTTCTTAACCTGTATGTCCACAATTCATTGACAAATACTTGGTTGGGAAAGTGGGTATCTTTTCTTTTTCTTATGCACAAGCATTATACAGGACTAATGTGCAACAGTAGCTATCCACTGAAATGAACAGGAGTAATACCCTAAAATCTGAAAGAGCTGATTAAATGCTGAATTTTATGAACAAAGAAAACTTGTGCCTAAAGTTGTCTACACAATTTGATCTTGAATGACTTCTAAAGGAACGGTAAATTTATGCTGTAAATAACAGAGTAATGTGCTGTAACAGAGACTAAATAATGAAAATATTTAATTTTAGGTTATTATTTAGCCTATAGAGTTAATCTTATAATTTACTTAACCCTTGTAAAACAAAAGGTAAAAACCCATTTTTCCAACCTCTAGAATATGTCATGGGCAGCTGGCTACTGTCTTAAATGGGTGGTCAGTACTTTCACTAAGCTTAACCTGAACACCTGTTAGATGGAAGCATGTCATAAGGTGAGAAAACTTCAGTATCTGTGCTCCCTCTGGCCAGCACCCCTGTACAACTGCCCCTCTAATGTCATAATCATATGAAGAGAAACACATGCCAGAGCACATGCTGTCTCCTGAGCACTGGACAGAAACCACCAAAGCTCTGGGAAAAGAACAGAAGGACAGGACGTAATGGAAAGAACCAACCAACTTTGGTTAAATTCCAAGGGCAAAATCATGATCAAGGTCATCTCCAGTGTTCAAGGTAGTCCCTCAGCCGCAACACAACAGAGCATGGGAATACTTGGGGTATGAGGAGCATCGGAGAACTCTGAGCTTCCTCACAATACTATCTAAAGGAAAGAAGTCAATCTACAAAGCTGCCAATTCACCTCCTGGAGATATCTGTTCCAGTGTTTCAAGGTTGAATTATATTGCTTAAAGGCTTCCTCCAATTCTGCATATTTTTAAAATGATGTTAATATTTTAGAGACTGGATGAATGGATTTTTACCTTTCTTTTACAAGGATTTAGTAAAATAATAAAGGATTTAACAGTAAGCACGAGGAAGAGTACTTACTGTTTGGATAAGACTGACTTGGCAATTTGATAAATATAAAAGTGATTTCTAATCTTTCAGTGGATATTAAGTTGAAAGATATAAAACTAATAGTCAAGAGATGGGTGATGACAGCCTATAATCATAGGCCCATAGGAGGTGGAGATTAGGAGGAGAACCCTAGTTTGAGGCTAGCTTGAGCAAAATAACTGGGCATGATGATATGTACATTATCATCCCAGTTATGGTGGGAATTGTAAATAGGATGACAGCAGTCCGGGATGACATGGGCAAAAAAAGCAAGATCCTAATCTCTAAATAACAGCAAAATGGGCTGGAGACATGGCTTAAGCAGTACAGTGTCTGTCTAGCAAGCATAAAATCCTAAGCTAAAATCTCAGTATGGCATTTGCAAGAGGAAAAAAAAGTTGGAATGGGAGTGGAGCTCAGTGATAGAGTACTTGCCCAGCATGCACAAGATCCTGGGTTTGATTCCCAGTATTATAGCAAAGAAAAAAATGAGACAATCACTGCTTAGGGGCCAATGGCTTTTTTTTTTTAAATGATTAGGCATTCAACTTTATAGTATAGAAACTTATCTTTGAGCTGTGTGGGGGTGAGGGAGGGAGGGAAGAGAGCACAAACACCTGAGCAGTTGACTGGATTTGAGCTAAAGATAAAATCCTGTATCTTCTCAGTCGCATGGGTTATAACATTCCAATTTAATAATCATTATTTTCTAAAGCACTTCAAAAACTCCACTTTGTATTTATTGTTGATCTTTAATGTAACAATTCTGAGAGTCGTGACTGAAAAGATATCAATGCCAACCAATACACTGGGTTCTAGCACTAAAGGCTCAGGTAGTCATACAGACATACTGAGTAGATGAGTAGATGCTCAAGTTTAGGGGATGGCTTGTGCTACATTAATATGACAAATCTTTACAGCAAGATGAAAATATGCATAAGAAGAACTGCGATGAAAAGGGGCAAAAAAAGAACAGAGAGGGGATGAGGCAGAAGAACTATCAGAAGTTTTGTTCCTAAAAAAGGGATTTTTTGTTTGTTTGTTTAAAGCAGAAGTAGGCAAATTTCTTAAAAAATCCAGAATAAGTATTTGGAGTTTGGTGGGCCAAAACCCACCACCTAAGATTAATCAGTCTGCTTCATGGACAATCAGTAAACAAATGGGTATGGTTATATTCCAAGAAAACTTTATTTACACAAACAGGTGACCAGTCCATAGCTTGCAGACCCTTGACAGATCATCTGGAGGCAAAAGGCAGTCCACACTGGCTGACTTGAAACCAAAAGGGGTAAAGGTGGCTCCCTGGCTAGTCTCTTCAGGTAGTCCAGTGTTGTGACAGCACCAGACTTGATGGGAACACTACAGCACCTCCAGCTTGCGTCACATAGCATGTTGTCTTTGCCTACTGAGCTCTTAGGTCCGTCAATGAATAGGAATGCTGCTCATAAAGGAGTAGTGGCTTCTGCCCTCACCCACCACAGAATCCGTCATACAGTGGGAAAGAGGCCAAACCTCAGTTCAAAGTAGCTGTCTTGAAGTGACGCCCCTGATAACCAGTTTGCATAAGGGAAAAAAAAATTACTTGTACAGTTATGTGATGAGCAGAGGATCCCAGCAGAAAGCACCCCATTTGTAAAGGGATGACTAAGTGCATCTCTTCACTCTGAACCACTATATAGAACAATGAGGAACAAAAGCCACAAGCTAAGATTACTGCCTTACTGATGTAGATCTAGAATGTGGGACAGGCATCTGGTGGAAAGCAATAATTGAAAATGGTTTACAAGAAGGAGATCTTTGCAAAGGAAGGAAAGGGAGACTGCAGTCAATGCCAAGCCTGGGTTTGGGGACATCTGGGAGATAGCTTTTCCAGCATCTGCTATAGGTGCAAAAGAGCATTCCAGAATTGGCTTTCAGGTGTTTTTTTAGTTTTTTGTTTTTTTTTTTAAATTTCTTTCTTCTATGAGCAAGTTAACTGAATCAGCAAAAAGGAGATTCAACAAGCATGAAATCAATTCTAACTTTAAAGTGTCCTAATTTTGTTGAAACTTCAACTATTTAAAAGTCATCACTACTACAGTAGTGATTTTTTAAATATCAAGACAATCCATTGTGTTGTATAACATAAATATACAGACTTCCTCAAATGCAGCCTACACTGAGAGGTTATTATTTTGAAGTAAAGTTTTAAACATGAAAACAAATTTAGGAAAGTAATGGAATGAATTATAAACTTGGAAGTGGAAAAGTTCCACCAATTTCCTCACTTCCTTTACTAACTTAATCCAAGCACCTCACAAGGTAGTCTATAAGCAATAAAGGATACCTCTTATGTACAAGAATCAGCACACCTGACATTGGCCAACATCAGCTGTTTCAGTCACCACAAAACAATATCCAGTGACAACTCTATGAAAAGATACCTTTAAAACCTTAAATCACTTTTAAGATTAAATGAACCTATTCAAAACATATTAATGCTTCTGTGCAACTTAATGCTGAGAAAGGATTGCCAGCACATACACAGCAGTTTCATTAAGGTAGGTAGCTCTTGAATGGCCAAGGTCAAAGATACTACAACAGAGGAGAGGAGAGGAGAGGAGAGGAGAGAAGAGAAGATGGGAGGGGAGGGGAGGGGAGGGGAGGAGAGGGGAGGGGAAAGAAAAGTAGGGGAGGAGAGAGGGGAGGGGAGGGGAGGAGAGGAGAGGGGAGGAGAGGAAAGAAGAGGGGAGAGGGGAGGGATGGAGAGGGGAGAGGAGAGAGGGGAGAGGAGAAGAGGGAAAAAGAGAATTTAATAGAGATAATTTCACTATGAAATTCAACACAACTCCCAATTTCTCATGAATCAAATGCGTTTCTCCAGTCCTATCCAAACATCAGAAGTTTCCACTATATACAGCAAACCTTAAAGAGAATAGAAGGCCTATTCTACCATAATTTGTATGAAAAGTCTAAGATCTGAAATAACCTACATAGAAAACTTTTAAATAAGGACAGAGTAAATGCTGTCCATACACACCTATTTTGGTGACAGAACACGTCAAAGAAGCTGACTGAGGCTTTTAACAACCAAATGGTTTGCAGAGTGGCCCAATGGAAATGTCAAGAACATTCTGAGGGAGCACTATCATAGCTACTAAGTAAAGCCAATGGGCCTATCTCAGGCTCCACCCAGGAAAGGCAAACAGCAATTATGATAATGCAGCTCAGCTTCTGAGCCACGTATATATGAAGGAGTGACATTACAAGTATTTAACCACTACAGTGGTACTAATAGATTGAAATGGACATCCACTCCAGGCAAGTACCTTTGTATCAGAGCCCCGCAGCTAGATTTTAAGGGTGTGGCCCACTGAGATGCTAGGAAGCCTCTTCCAGCTTCCAGGTTCTCTGACCTTTATATAATTCTGCTGTTCCCACTTCTCCAAGTCTGATGCCAAAATGGTGCTGGGACGTGTGAGACATTGAGCTACTTTTAAACCATCTGGCTGGTATTAATTACTTAGCTCCTGGACACACTACATGGAGGAAGAAAAAGTATTCTAAGGAAAAACTGAGTCTGGGAGACAGTGCATGTGCCCACACTCTTGCTTTCCTATTACTGTAAATAACAGGTTGGCTCTCTGAATAGGGAAGCGCTGTGGGGTAAGAAAGGAAATAAGAAAGTCACTTTCATCCTAATTGTCAAAAATTAGAATTGTAAAACTAAAATCAAAACAATTTTTTTGTAGGGGGGAGCAAAATAGGATGAAAACCTGGTCAGAGAGCTAGCAAGGCTTCAAGGTCAAAATTGAAGAGGATGACTCAGAAATACAGTTTGAGGACACAAATATTTTTTGGAGGTCATAAACCGAAATTAACAGTTGTGACATCTTTTCTCCTATGGGCATAGAATTTAGAAAATATGTTCTCAAATAAGTTAAAAAAAAAAGTCCAAAGTGAGAAGAGTGACCAATAATGAATATGATTTTTAAGAGGGTAGCAAGTATTAATCTTTTAGAATAATGGTAAATCCTCTGCATCCTCGTAATTTGGTTTAGCTTTCAAATAAACACTCAAAAAAAAAAAAGGAGACAGAGGGAAGTTCTGCTGGAGTTTGCAAAGGGGGAGTCTGTTCTAGGACAGACATGGTAGGGTGGCTGCTGACAGCTCTTTTCTCATGCAGGGTGGTGGTCTTCTTGGCTACAGTACAAGTGCTTGTGCATCAAGTATAAAATACAAGCCTTTAATCACATAGATCAGCTTTTTAGCTTTTGTAAATTTTAAAACAAAAAGGATAAATAAGGCACTGTACTTTTTAAAAAGAAAACTTCTTGGTTCCAAGTTTAAAACCCAAGGAACAACCAGAATATAATATATAACTTCCCTTAACCTCAGAAGAGGACTCTACAAGTTCCCTCCTCTACCTGAGATGCATTTTCTGACATCTCCAACGGTGGTGTTTTCTATTAACTGTAACTTGAAAGGCTTGATAAGCTTATAAAAGCAGATATAGTTAATGCAAAATAAAAGGTTACTTCTATAGAACAGTTTCTCTCTTGGCTGCCAGTCTTCCCTTACTTTGCATCCACCCGCCTCCGTTTGCTGTGGGAAAAGTCTGGCTTCGCCTTGAGCTTTCTCTTTCTCTGGGTTGCATTGTTCTCTGGGCGTTTTGTCAAGGGTCTAGCGCGCGTCTTCCCACTGTTTGGCTTCCTGTTGGAGGCTTTCTGGGGCCTTGATGGGGATTCACCACTCCCTCTTTGCCTGGTAGATTTTGAAGGTTTCAGTGCTTCTGAGGATCCGGTGGGCTGGGTACGTCTTTTGTTTGTATTCTCTTTTTCTTTCCTAGAAGAAAGAAAGCTCTTTCTAGGGGTCTTTTTAGGGATCTTTGTTTTATTCTCTTTCGAAGACATCTTTTTAGGCAGTTGGCTGTTTTTGTTCTTTGCAGCTGGCCTCTTGGCAGTAATTCGGGTGGCTCCATCCACACGCTTAGCTTTTGACACCAGGCCCCGGTCCTTACTGTCTTGAGTACTGCCCCCTTCTATTCTCCTGCGTTTGTTTTGACCTTCAGCTTTAAGCAAGACTTCAGGCCTCTGCTTCCCTTTCCTTCTCTTTACACCTTTAGCATTCTTGGACTTAACAGGAAATCCATCTGCACCCACCTGGAGGGCGAGCTTTGGGGACATCAAAGGATTGATACACACAGTCTTCCGACTTGGCTTGGTTTCTGAAGCCATGCCCAGTGGACTGTTCATGTTGATCAATCGTTTCTGGGCTCTGAGCTTCCCTCGAATATTGGAATATTTTCTAAGGATTCGGGTGCTGGCTGGAGTGGGCAGGTTTGTGGGGGGATGGCTATTTCTTCCTTCCTTGACTTCTTCTACGCTGGCTTCAGAATTAGGGCTGAGGTTGACATCAACGCTGCCCTCTGGCTCTGCTTGGTTAAAATTTTCTCTAAGTTTAGTCCAGATCTTCTGCGTTTTCCAATTATTCCTAGCAGGAGTAGCGCCAGGAAATTTCTTTAAGTGTTTTTTCAATCGTTCAGCCTGCAGTGAACTCGGGTACAGGCTAGAAGGAGAGTACTTCTGAAGAGGGTGTTTGACAGGTGGGACATCTCCTGGAAGGCGTGTATTGAGCTTCTTTACAATGACTAAAGATCGGGTTTCAGTTGTTTCCATGAACCATTTACAAACATTAGATAACTTAAAGTTTGACATAAACAGCATCTGAACAGGAGAAAACTTCTGAACCTCCAAGGAACCCTTACATTTCCGTGACCTTTTCTTGCTTTTCCAAATATCTTTCAGCTTATCTAACTTTTTCCTTGCTCTTGCTGTTGGCTGTGCTTCTTTCTCTAACTGGATCCATCCCCGCTGAACTCTCATATACTGAACATTGAAGTTAGCTATAAGCTCCTGGTTCTCCTCCTCAGCACACCACTCTACAAATTTGGGCTGTTCATCCACTGTGTCTTCATCATCCTCATCTGAGGGGTCTGCACTGTCAGAAGCACTTTCCTTTGGCATGGAGTTTACTTGTGCAGCTTCCTTTCCTGCTGTCACTTTTGTAGTATCCAAGTAATCTACAGAATGAACATGTCTCAGGTTATAGGTTGAAGAGATCAATCTTTTAGGCCTTGCTCCCAATTTTGGTGGCCCAGCAGTGTCACTACCTTGACTATTTGACATCCCAGCTGAGCTAGATGAAGCTATGCTAGTATCATCTCTATGCTGGGTATCCTCACTTTCTACCTCATTTTCAACTGCCTCCAAATCCTGTGCAGGCATGTGTTCTGGCCTGTCTTCTGGTTGCTCTGGGTTCCTCTTATAAGGACTGCTTTCTGACTGGACGTGAGTATCTCCCTCATTCATCTTAGACTGAACATATACTTCTAGTCTCTCACCAGGGAGAGGCTGGGCAACCGTAGTCATGAGATCACTGCTAGGAAGAATGTTCTCTTCCTTCTTGATTTCTGTTACTAGAATGTTTTTAAAACTCTGCCTCGTGATGATCCCACCTCTTTCATCCCCTTGCTCAGCATCTTTCTCAGAGGGACACTCACTGACAGTTGGGTTTGCCAAGTTTTCTATATAGGTGATGCCATCTGGAATGCCTTGTGGTGTTGTAATAACAGAGTCCTCTTCTTTCTTAGAATGCTTTTCATCACAGCTTTTAGAAATCTTGACCTCAGGACAAGCAGAGGAACAATCGGAACTTTGTTTCTCCAGGCAGCTATCAGAAGAGGAGGGCTCTGAAAGGGGACTTCTTCGGTACCTATCAGAGGCCTCAAGGGACTTTTTGCCTCTTTTCTTCTTGTCCAGATTCTCTTCAGATGGGTCAATGCTTAGATCACACCTATCTTTTTCTGAAGAGTATTTATCACTCTCTCCCTCCAATTGTCCTGTAGCACCTGCTGCTTCACTTCTTTTCATCTCATTAGGACTTCCATTAGTGAAAGTGCTCCTTTGCCGCAGGAATGAATCAGTATCTAGCTCCTCAGTGTCTGTAGTTTGGACCTCAGTACTGAGGCTTTGGCTGTGATCAGCCTGTCCTAGACTCAGAGGAGGATCCATCTCCACAAGGGAACCCTGGTTTCCTGGGCATAGAGGACTTTCTTTTCTGCTGATTATTTCAGGAAAAGATTGAGATTTAGTAAGGATATCTTCAGGGTCTCTCCTAGAAGTGTTTTCAGTGGTGGGAATCAGATGGCAGTCCTGAAGTACATTCATCTGCTCTGCATCTAGCAGGACAACTGGTTGTTGGTCTCCTTTAGGGAAAAACATTGTATCGGCTGTGAGAGTAGACAGTGCAGTATTGCCTTCTGGCCTGACCTCATCAGGGAGAGAACCTAATTGGCTGGAGGCTGATGTATCCCCTGATTTGGAGGAACAGCTAGGATTTGGTTCACACATCCTGGGGCAAACCTCAGGCTCTTGACAGGCTTTTGCAGATGAAGGGTCTCCATTTCTCTCTTCTCTTGTTATTTCCTTACCAGACTCTTCAGGGTTGTCTTGTCTTGGAGGTTGTACATCCACCATGTGCCTAGGGGCTGGAATTATAAGAGAAGGCTTAGGAGTTGAAACCACTTCTGAGGTCGGTAATGAGCAGCAACCCTTTTCCTGGGAGTGCAAATTTCTGGCCAGTGTGCGAACAGTTGGCAGTTCACAACAATCACCATTGAAAAAGTACCCTCGAGTACTCTTTCTGGCTGTTTTCCGAGAAGATAATATGGATCGTTGAGTCTCAAAGTGGCATTCTGTTATTGGTTGACTAATATAAACAACATCACATTGGTTATCATAATCATTTATTCTCAATCCTGATGCCCTTTTACTTTTCCGAGCGGTCTTGATGGAATTTGGTATCTTGTTTCTTGTGTGTCCATTAGAAGCTTTGTGCACAGCTGGCATGGGGTTAGGGGTTAACCAGCCATCTTTAGAATGATCAAACTGGGCCTTGTCACTGGGATGTGAATAGTAACCTACCTTATTTCTTCCTAGTGAATGACGATGGTACTCTTGCTTTGGCCTTGTGTCTTGTTCATTTGCCTCCAAATCCTGGCACAAAGGTATTTTTGAACTGCACTGTAAAGCATTCTCTTTGTCAGCAGTTCTAGCTGAGTTGCCCATAAACCCTGAGTCCCATGTCTCTTCTGATAAAGCTTTCAATGAATTTCTTGGAGAAATAACACAGCTGTTGCCTTCGTCATTATTTTCAACTGTCCCTTTCACTGTGATTAGACTTTCTACCAAAGGTGAACTCTGCATATGGTCTTTACCATCTTCACATGGTTTTGCATTTGTGTCTTGTTCCTGTCCAGTGGTTTGTCCCTCTGAGCTTTTAGAGATATGGTGGAAACTCGATGAAGAATTAGATGCACTGAGGTATCCCACAGCAGAATTATCTGTTGAACTTCCAGAATCAGACCGAGTAGCTGGAAGTTCAGAAGAATCTTTTTGGACAATGGTGAAGGAATTTTCTCTTTCATCTGTAGAGATTATCTCAGGAGGAGGTTCCTTCAGTATCTGTTCAGTCATGTGAAGAGAACTTTGAGAACTTGATGAATCTACAAACAAATCTACAGAAGTAGGAGACTTTCTATCAAGACATACAGAATCTTGTTCCTTATGTCTGCTGATTAGCTGGGCACAACCAGCACTGCAAGTGGATGTATCCATCATGTCAGAATCTGAAGGCTGCAGGTCCTCAGGGCCTGGTTGAGATTCAGTGTACAGGTCACTCAGAACACGAATGAATTGCTTCTGATGATGACTGCACAGTTTGACCATAAACTTCTCCAGTGGAGACTTGGACTGATTGTTAGAATCTACTGCTACAGGCTCTGTTGAGTTATCACTAGATAGACAAAGAGAAAGAATCAATTAGTGTGGTTGTTTCACAAAGAACCACTTTTTTATAGCATAAAACTCACCAGATACTACTCATATTGTAAAGAGAGTGGGTGCTATGGACAAAATTGCTTCCAAACCTGCTATTTACTTTTTTTTTTTTTAAAGGGAGGCCCTGTACTGGGGTTTAAACTTAGGGTCTCACATGTTTGCTAGACTGGCACTCTATCACTTTAACCTTGCTTTAACCTTATTTTGGAGATGTACTCTGATGAACTTTACTGCCTAGGTTGGCCTCAAACCATGAATTTTCTAGATCTCAGCATTCTGAGTAGCTAGATTATTGGTGTAAGCCACCAGTGCCTGATTACTTTTGACTCAATAAATAATCTGTACCCAATTAACATATAAGGCTAGTACATTATATCCTCAACATTTTAAACTATTTTTTGGTCTTTTCTTTTTTGGCACTGGGGATTGAACCCAGGATGCTATACTTGTTAGGCAAGTGCTTTGCCACTGAGCTACATACCAGATTTCCTCAACTTTTTTAATGACAATATACTTCCCTTTTTCCTTTTTTTTTTTTTTGTGACGTTAAGGCTCAGTGTCTTTCATATGCTACACAAGTGCTCCACTATTTAACTACATGGCTAGCCCTTATGTACACTTTCTTAATTAACCTTTTTTTTTTGGTGGTATTGGGGTTTGAACTCAGTCTCACACTTGCTAGGCAAGGGCTACACACTTGAGTCAAGTTACCAGCTATTTTAACTTTTTTTTGCTGTAGTTACTGCTCAGATAAGTCCCTGTCCTCCTTCTTTCTACCTTCTGAGTAGCTGAGGTTAGAGCATGTGTCATCATCATATTCAGCCCTTCTTTCATACCTTTCAAGTAATCATTCAGAAACACTGTTTATCTCATAAAATGAAATTCTGAAAACATTTACTTTTCCCCAAAAGATACAAATTGTCAACAGTAACTCCACTTAACATATACAAGCTGTATACCTCAATCCAAAATTTTAAAATGTTGCAAAATATAAAACATTTTCCAGGTAGAAAATTCCTTATCATGAACCTTTGTTCTTTCTATAAAATTATTTAAAACTAGCCAGGCGCTGGTGGCTCATGCCTATAATCCTAGCTACTCAGGAGGCTGAGATCTGAGGATAGCGGTTCAAAGCCAGCCGGGGCAGGAGAGACCGTGAGACTCCTATCTCCAATAAACCACCAGAAAACCGGAAGTGGCGCTGTAGCTCAAGTGGTAGAGCGCTCGCCTTGAGCTGAAGAGCTGAGGGACAGCACCCAAGCCCAGAGTTCAAGCCCCACGACAGACAAAAAAAAAAAATTATTTAAAACTTTGTGAGTGAGTTACTAGTAGTCCTGACTACTCAGAAGGCTGAGATCTGAGGATTTTGATTCAAAGCCAGTGGGGCAGGAAAGCCAGGAGACTCTTATCTCCAATTAAACACAAAAAAGCTAGAAGTGGAGCTGTAGCACAAATGGTAGAGTACTACTCCTGAGCAAAAATGTTCAGTTACAGGACCCAGACCTTGAGTTCACACCCTAGGACCAGCACGCATGTGCACACACGCATACACCCCGCCCCCCCACCATATACACACAAATGCAAGACTACCTTCATACTGTATGTATATCTGAAACATAAATGATTTCTGCATTCAGACTTGGGTTCTATGCCCAAGATATCTCATTATGCATATGCATATATTCCAAAATCTAAAAAAAAAACCCAACTGATATTCTTACTTCTGGCCCCAAGCATTTTGTATAGGGGCTACTCATTGTGTACTTTTGCTTGCATTTGGGTATTCCTGTTAAATACTCATTGGTTTTATGGGAAGTCTTGGTACAGAAGTACTCAGAGAAGCCAGGTGATAGTGGCTCATGCCTATAATCCTAGCTACTCAGGAGGCTGAGATCTGAGGATCATGGTTCAAAGCCAACCCAAGCAAGAAAGTCTGTGAGACTCCTATCTCCAATTAGCCACCAGAAGACTGGAAGTGGCGCTATGGCTCAAAGGAGTAGAGCACTAGACTTGAGCAAAAAGAATACAGGGTATCCAGGTCCTCAGTTCAAGCTCCATGACTGACCAAAGGAAAAAAAGTACTTAGAATGTAATAGTTTTAAGATAATTTTTTGCAAGACCAATTTTACAAACAGGTTTGTGAAGCTTTTTTCCCTTTCCTGGGGCATGGATGAACAGCAACAAGTATTTTCACACTTTGGATACATTGAATAACAGTATGACAAGCCAAGTTCTGCTTTCTAGCCTTTCAGTGAGGCAATAAATGTGAAATTGCACAGTAAATGATAAAACTTTGTCAATGCAAGGTAGTAGCAGAATGTTTTCACACAAACTCCACCTATCACATTCCCTAGACCTTCAATGAACATTTTAATACACCCATAAAAGTCATTTTACTTTAAAGAACCCCCACCCCCCACCTCATGAAGTATTTTCCTAAGTTATCTAGGACAAACTCTTAGAGCTTAATCTAGATAGTGAGGGTTGGCAGGACTAGATTCAAAACAGGATATAGGCATGCCTACTGACACTGCCAAGGACTTCACAAACTGCTTTGTGCTTCTACATGTCTGGGTTTAATGTGCCCATACAGCTGGGAGTGGTTAGTATCTCTCTTCCCTCTGTAGTGTAATTCCTCAGATTATTTGGTTGTGTATAAAACATGGCAGAGGATGGAGAGGAGCTGAATAAATGCATGTTGAATGGATGTATTTGATATCTTCTGGGTAATTCTCTTCTACCTTTGACTTTTTCCTCCCAGTAATAAGAGGCCTTTGGAGAAAGGCCTACCCCAGACAGCCTGCATCATTATCTTTCTGCTCTCCACTGGCAGTGTGAACATAGGTGGTGGAACATGAGACACCAGGATTCCACTTTTAGGACTATCTATTGTTCACAGCAAGCATCTTGGGCAAGTTATTTCATCCCTTTGAACCCTGGCTTCCTCATCTGTAAACCAGGACTGAATATCAGTATCTCAAGGGAATTTTGAGAGATGTTACATAACATATATAAAGCACAAAAGAACAGGTGCTCAAGACTAGTTTCTCTTTTTCTAACTCAGGGAGACTTTTTCCCTCCCCCGCTTTTTAAAGACAGGGTCTTACTATGTAGCCCAGACTGGCCTTGAACTCATGTTCTTCCTGCCTCAGCCTCCCAAATGCTGGGATTACAGGTGTGGACTCAAGAGAAATTGTTAATTTCAAGTGGAAAATTGCCTAAACTCATTTTAATTAAAAAAAAAAGAAGAAGCCAGATTAGTTGCATCTGTTGCTTAATCTCAATTGTTTTGGGGGGAGGGGAGAGGGGGTGGTGGCAGTGGAGCTGGGCTCTAATGGCTCATGCCTGTATTTAGGAGGCTGAAATCTGAAGACTGCAGTTCAAAGCCAACCAGGGCAGGAAAGTCCATGAGACTCTTATCTCCAATTAATCACACACACACACACACACACACACACACACATCCATAAAGTCCATGAGACTCTTATCTCCAATTAATCACACACACACATACACACACACCCATAAAGTCCATGAGACTCTTATCTCCAATTAATCACACACACACACACACACACACACACACACACAAGTGGAGCTATGGCTCAGTAGTAGAGTGGTAGCCTTGAGCACAAAAGCTCAGGGGCAGTGCCCAGGGCCCAGAGTTCAAGCCTCAAGATTAGGGGTTGGGGTTGGGGGGGGAAGACTAGAGATAATAGAGATAAATGGTTCTTTCCAATCTAATAAGTAAAATAGTTATCCATTTTTACAAGTCTTTTAGATTCCCATTCATACTTTTTACTGACTTAATCTGTCTTGTGTCTTAGCTTACTAAGTAGTATAAACTGCCTGAGTATAGATAGGGACTATATTTCAGGTTTTCCTATCATTCCTCCTCCTAGAAAAAAAAGAAGGGGAGAAAGGAGCATCAGGGATGTGCTACCCTGTTTTGTTCCCAGATTGTGGAAGGTGTTTGTGTGTGTCTGGTGAGTTTTGTTCTGTTCACGCTGAGATGTTTTTAAGTCTTTGATCTGGGATATTTGGTAGGAACCCCATCAGTAGCTTCCTTGGACTGGGAGCCTGAACATTAATACTAACCTTTGTCCAGGTATTACTAAATGGCAATGTTATAAGAGTTAACTTTACAACTCTAGTAATAAAATCACTTTTGGCTAGGTCTCTAAATTACTCCTGCTTCTTATCTTATTATTTTTTCTATTTTCCCCCAACAGGACCCAAGTTTAGATTAACTTCTGCATTTGGGCATTTAATTCTATTACTATTTTTTCATATTTAAGAACAAGTGTTACCCAGCTTTGCATTTTAAACAGATAGTCTTTACCTTTGGTTTTATTCACTTTTCTTTCCTTTTATGGTACAAGTAATGAGGCTTGAACTCAAGGCCAGTTGTGTTATCCCTTAGCTTTTTTGCTCAAGGCTAGTACTGATCTACCACTTGAGCCACAGCTCCACTTCCAGCTTTTTGGTGGTTAACTGGACATCAGTCTCATGGACTTTCTTGCCTGGGCTAACTTCTAACCACGACCCTCATATCTCAGCCTCCTGGATAGGATTATAGATGTTAACTACCCACAGCAGGCTAGTTAAAATTCGT